TTCAATAAGAAGTTCAACAAACTGTACAGAACCATGCTGTATTGCATGAATTAAAACACTGTCTAGTTGAACATCCTTTCAAAAATAGTGGAAATCAGAAACTAAGATTCTCTGCGTTTATAATATTTACTGTCCACTGAGTTTTCACGTTTTCAATGAATATGTCTGAAACAGCCAGATCAAACTTGTTCCACGCCATAGCTAGTTTGAGCTTTTGTACATGAGCATCAGATATTTCATGCTTGGGCATGCTTGTCGCTAAGTAGAAAATCATTCAAAAATTTATATGGACTATGTAAATACCTCGAAATAATGCTTGAAGTATGGCATCACTCAATTTGAATTCAGGATCGTCAGGAGATAGTAAAAAAGTATTGATTAAGAAGAAGCCTTTTTCTGATCTTATCATATCACGAAAACGCTTTTCATTACTTTCAGTGATGATTTTCCTACGAGCTTCTTTTATTACTCGTTCTCTAAAACATAAGTTAAATTTTTTTTAAAGAAAATATGAATATTACAGATTAGCATTATTGTCCACTGGTGGGATATATGTTGTTTGATTGCCATACAATGCTCTGTATGCTTTTGCAATAAAATTAGCCGCTCTACCAGTACCCTACATAAAAGTGAAAATGAAGTATGTTTTTCTGATTAATTTTATTTTGAATATATATACTTCAATAACAACGACGGGCGTTTCGTGCATTACTGCTTCAACCACTGTTAGAAGAGATGAGGGACCACCTTCGATTAATATTTGAATAATTGGAATCGTATAATCTGTGGAGGTACAAAACGTAATAACTAGACAAAGAAGAGTATTATTTACTTTGTCTATAATGAGAGCTACAACGAGCTTCCTGTTCAATTTCAGCACGCAATTGAATAGTGAGGTCGGCTTGAACTGGATATCCATATCGTTTCCAGGTTTCACCATTTGCATCACATTTATCATCAAGCAGAATAAAGTGAGTATGATTTGGAACGAGTGGATATGATGATGGGTTCTTTTGTGGTACACAATTACGATACAGTTTCTCGTGATCGGCTACTGTGCTCAACGTCGCTATTGGCATTGTACTCTAGATGATGCTTTCATTTTTCGAGAGACCTGTGAAAATCTTACCCTTATTCTAGCACAACTCAACACGAACTACTAGTAGGTTTTTTTTCTTTTTTTTTGTTGTTTAGGGCATAAGATCTAGGTCAGGGGCCCTAATAATTTTTTTCTGTAGATTTATTTAAATGTCTAAATAAATCGATGAAACCAAAAAAAAACAAAAAAAAAATTGCATGGATATGGAATGACCAGGAATTCCTGCATATTCCTGTATAGGTTGATGTATTCATGTTCAACTAAACCTTGCTATGGAAATAAAGATGCAATTCCGTTTTAGAATTCCGGAATTGCATGGATATGAAATGACCAGGAATTCCTGCCAACTCCTGCATAGGTAGATGTATTCATGTTCAAGTGAACATTGCTATAGAAATAAAGATGCAATTCCGTTTTAGAATTGCGGAATTGCATCGATATGGAATGACCAGGAATTCCTGCCAATTCCTGCACAGGTTGATGTATTCATGTTCAACTGAACATTACTATAGAAATAAAGATGCAATTCCGTTTTAGAATTTCGGAATTGCATGGATATGGAATGACCAGGAATTCATGCCGATTTCTGCATAGGTTGATGTATTCTTGTTCAAGTGAACATTGCTATAGAAATAAAATTCAATTCCGTTTTAGAATTCCGGAATTGCATGGATATGGAATGACCAGGAATTCCTGCATTTCCTAGTGATTCCGGATATGCACAAATTCCGGAAGTCCACTTTGCATTTATTCAAGCTCGATAAATGATCACTTAGCCACCCATGAGATATTTGTAATTCCGGAATAGGTAGAAATGACCAGGAATTCTTGCATTTCCTAATGATTCCGGATATGCACAAATTCCGGAATTCCGCTTTGATATCGAATAGATCTTTTAAGATGATCATTTCGTTATTCAGTATATCCCTCGAATTCTGGAATTACTCGGAGTGACCAGGAATTGGATGTTGAGAGTTGATTTGAAAGGAACTACGAATCAGGAATTCCTGGTTGTGGTATGTATTTGAGAGAAAGGGTCGTTTTAGGTTTTCCGGAATTGATGGTAAAGGATTCCGGGTCAGAAGGCGATGCAGGAATGTGTAACTTTTGAGAATAGGAAGTATTCTCAGTGTGTGGGGTGTGGGTGGGTGTGGGTGTGTTGGTGGGTGTGGGTGTGGGTCTGGGTATTGGTCGGTGTGGGTGTGGGTATGTGTGGGTGTGGGTGTGTTGGTGGATGTGGGTGTGGGTGGGTGTGGGTCTGGGTATGGGTCGGTGTGGGTGTGTGTGGGTGTGGTGTGGGTGTGTGGGTGTGGGTGGGTATGGGTGTGGCTAGGTGTGGGTGTGGGTGTGGGTGTGGGCGTGGGTGTGGATGTGGGTGTGGGTGTGGATGTGGGTGTGGGTCAATGAGAAGAAGAACACTCACACTCACACCCACACCTACACACCCACACCCACACCCACACCCACACACCCACACCTACACACCCACACCCACACCCACACCCACACACCC